ATATTTTTCGACTTGCAAGTTTTTACTTTAGTATAGTGGACAATTCTATGTGATTGTAATTTGCACAAATTTGTAGCAATTGCTAATTAATTAACGAAAGATAAATAGATACGACGCGTCGTGAAACCCTAGGTGCCAGAAGCAACCAAAGTGATGGGAGGGAGCAGGCGCCTCGAGTTTCGGCGTCATTGGGATTCCCTCGCCTGTACTAGTTGCTTTGTGGCTTAGTAGCCTGGGTACCTTAGGTAGGTCTTGCTTGTCCATGACTTTTAACTTCTGCGTTACCAATGACAACGGTGACAGCGAATAAGTTCTTCATATCCCCCATCGGACGGTGATTTCCTCATCTATCAGTGTTGGATCTAGGGAGTGGTGTTTGCACCTTCTCGGTTCCTTCGGGATCTCTGTATGTGATTGGGAGGAGGGGGCTTATGTATACTTGTGTTGATGTCAAGGTAATGGTCCTCTTCTTGCTCTTTGTGCAGTGGTGTTGTGGGCAACCAGCGGCATCTACGGTGGGAGGCCAACCCTTGAGAGTTGAGGTGATGCTATCAGGGTATTTTTGTGTTAGCGACGAGGTTGTTACCTTGTGAAGACACCTTGCAAAGTTGATGTTCATAAGATGGTTTGGATATGATATTTCCAATCTATGCAAGGTTTCTACAAATAGCAGCTTATGCTGCAGAGGGTTGATCCAGCCGGCTCTTACCATGGTGACCTCCCAACCACAAGATGCAATGTCAAACCGACTCTGACAATGCGACCGCGATGGCAGGGTGCCTTTGGCTCGTTTTTTCGAATGAGTTTATTTGACTCTTCAGGATATATTTTTTTCGAAAAGAGGGGTTCGCCCCAGCCTCTGCATCTGAACGATGTATACGGCACATATTATTAATAAGCAAAAGGTCCAACAAAAGTCTCCAAGTCTCAAACAAAGAAATACAAAAAAGGCTTATAAAGAGCTAAGCAGTAATAGAAAGGCCACAACCGGCTGGCAAAAGGTAGGAGCACTACATACCTATCCTATTATATGACTCTTTCAGGATATAGCCGCATCATTTGAGCGACTTTGGCTCGTGTGGTTAACATTGAGCTTGTTTGGCTATTTGAGGATCTAGTTGTATTTTCA